TCCAGGCAATTCTATGAATTCCTGTGAGTGTTCCGGAGGTGTAGTGCTGTGCCTTAGTGCAGTGCTCCCTAGAGTGTCCTTTGGATACAGTTCTCGGCCTCCACGGATTAGCTGCACCAGCTCCGGTGAGTCTCCCAATTTATTAACTGGTGAAGGGATCTCGATAGATGGTTAAGATTCGTTCTCTGTCGCTCGCGCTATTTGCCGGACTCTTACTCCGACCCTCTCTACCTCAAACCTAGCAGCCTGAGCGGCCGTGCATTTCCGTAACCGTCCGCTCCCGTTCGTGTATCCAGTTGCGTTTGCTGATTTTACGCGACCCCAAAGATCAGCACCTACGGTTGCGTTTCTCGATTTTACGCGTCCCCAAAAATCGACAGGATCCGTTAAGCTATCGCCTCGTCCGATAGGTTACGTCAGAGTTCTCGCTTTGGCGGAGTTGGGCCTGTTCCACCCCAACTCCCAGTTCATACCGGCTCGTCAGTTCCCGGTGAAAAAAGAATTGACTGGCGGCCGCCTGGCTTGCGGATGCACGAACGACGGGTGGACGGCCGAAGGTAACGTAGGTTGCTTCTCGAAGATAGTTCGTTCTCGTATGTTTTGCTATCGGTGTCGAGTTAAGGAAAAGAATTACGTTACAACGTCTACTGGCTCTTTACTACACGAGTTCCATACCTGCCACGTTTTTAGAGCGTTCCCTGAGGTGCTGGGTATGTTGGCCACGCTGCGGCTGCTCACTCTACGTGTGCTTTTCTTACTGGGGCTACGTTTATCGGCGCCCAAGCTAGAAGGACCATCGTCCGGCTTCTTGTTCGGCACTTCGGAAGACGAGGTAGCGTAGCTGGAGACCTGTCCGCCAACCTTGAAGTCTGTCGTTTTTTTCCTTGCAGCGACCCTGGGTATGTGTATACCTTCGAAACCGGAATCCGAATGATTCCTACTGTTGGGATTTCTCTGAAAGTGAACGTTCTCATAACAGTGAGGAACGTCTCTGCTCTCGGAGTTGCTCCTGGACAGGGCGCCACCAAAGTGACACCCCTTCGAGAGGATCCTTTGAAACTGGACGTTTTCGTAGGAATGTTCGGGAGTGCTTCTATCGCGAGTCTCGGAGTTGCTCCTCTGAAGTTGACCGCGCTGTCTTTGCGAGCACCTGGCGAATAGGACGCTTTCATGATCCTTGCTGTTGCCGCCATCCTGTTCGTGGTCGTAAGTGAACGACTGGGAGCCGTCATTCGTCCCGGTGTTGTAACGTGGGGAATTAGGTGCGCTATTCTCGGCCAGGGTCTCCAAGTTCTCGTGGAATGGATACGGAGGTAAAGAAGACGGCTCTGTTGCCTCGTAGCTGGAGGTGCTGAACTTATCGCTGCAGGAAGTCGTCAAAGGACTTGGTACGTAGAAACTCGAGGAATTATCTTTCCCAGGAAATACCTCTGTCACGCTCAGGGCCTTCCTCTTTCTTATACCGGCGTTTATCTTACTGAATTTGCTTCTCAAGACACTTTGAATCTCCGACAGACCTTTTGCAGTACCTGCGACAGATATTTATTATATTTTACAAAAATATTAACCATATTTCGAGAGCATTCGTCAGAGCTCGGCTCCGTCGATCTTATCGACCAACGGATCATCAGGCAAGAGTCTCCACTAGCAAAGATACTATTGTTTATGTTTAAGATGTAAAACGATGTAAATACATGGGACCAAAGCAATTCCGAGATTCGTCGCTTAAGGCGGCATCGTCTGCCGGGTGGCGTACGGCGCCAAACCCCTTACTCAACATTTGAAATGCAATTCGTTGGTAGGAATGTTCGATAAGCTGATAACGCGATAACACATGAAACGCCAGGCTTTCCCCAGGGTTTCAAGTGCTACGACGACTGTTATCAAGATGGCACCACACGAATTATTCTTAATCCTTAACGCGGATCAGCAATTTGACTTGATCGCAAGTAAAAGTTATTAAAAGTATTCTGACTGGGCAGAGGGTCTCGCAGTGTAAAGAATTAATTACCGGGCAAACGTAAGGAACTCGTTTGCAAAAGTTTCTTCGGAGAGGAACCTTCCTGAAGGGATTTGGCGGCCGGCGAGACTTCTCGGCTGGTCGGCGTCGACCTGACGCTTTGGATAATGCCTCGGGCTGAAGCACCCTGTAAAAGGGCTTCCTGAGGTTCCGATATTTCCTGAACGGAGCATCTTCTTCGTAGCTTTCGCCATCTTTGGCTAATGCTCTTGTTCCACAGACTGAGATCTGTAAAATAAATAGTTAAAATATTAGGGCAATCGTTACGAGACTTTTTTCGAGTTTTCGATAATACACTAGCGGACCAATAAAATCAATTACAATTGAGTATGGCTTCCATGATAGAATAACGTTCAAGTTTCCAAGTCTTCGAGTGTTTCAGCATGTCGCCATTGGAACGATACAGTAACGTAGTTGTCATGTGCTGTCAAGGGAAATAACTCTTCGGATACGATATTGAGAAGCGTCAGGTTAGGAATTTTCGATGATGATAAGCGAATGAGAAACTAAAATGGTCCAGAGAGTCAAAGGAAACGAAGAAATTCGGAAGGAACAGATCTTTTTCCTGTGAACTCTAAGACGCGCAAGTTCCAAGAGACATTCTTTCGAAGCCGGTGAAGCAAATCCGGTGGTAGGGTTCGTCATAATGATTCTCATTGTTAGACCGGCAAGTCAACTTGCAAAACGTTTGACTTTCACTTGGGCGCAGGAATACACTGTACACACTCCAAGCATTCCACACACACCACGCACACAACGCACACAACGCACACGACACACACTGCACAGCAGGGACACATCCTTTTGCAGATGGAAGAAGAATTCCAGCCTTCGAGAGATCCTCGAGTGTACTTCGGACGACATTCCAGGGGGCCTCGCGTATTGTCACTTGTGTCGGAGTTCATAGTGGGAATGGTAAATGACGAAATTGTCATTCACTGACGACTGGACTGTCCCTACAATGTGTCTTTAGATGACGAACTTGGAAAGTTTATATTCCTCTGGGTGGACGACCATCTGCATCTCCAGGCGCAGCAGTTCCGCATAGAAGTAGGCAAACCCAAGTATGTAGGCGAGCATTATAGACTCGTGTCTTGACCACAGACGCAATTTCTTCTTTTTCTCTTATCCCAGATCTCTTGACAGCGATAGAAATGTGTCGTGAATCAGCAAGCGAGAGCAAGAGAGACAGCAGGCTGAGAAGAACGCAAAGGGCTTCGCACTGCTCGAGGACTGAACGACTGAACGACTGAACGACCGAACGACCGAACGTCTCGCGATCACTGAGAGGCGCCGCACGCGTTTGGTGCGGCCCGAGTGCGGCCTTAACGTTCTTCCCTCCCTCTTTGCTCGAGAGCCAAGCAGCGAGTGCACGTGTGCATCTGTGTGCATTCCCCTTCATTGTTTGTATTCCCCCCCTCTCGGGGCATGAGAGAAGAAAGAAGAAACCGGGGAGGGGGGAGCGCACGTGTGGGTGTGGGACCCCATTGAAAACCACCGTTGGGACCACGTTGGGACCTTCTCTTTCGTTCTCTCGGCTCTATGGTTGCATTTGAGTATGTGAGGTTGTGCGCATGCGCGCGCGTGGTTGTGCGCATTTTTACAATTCTTCGATACACTTACGGGCTCACGGGGCAGAGGTGGATCGTCGTGCTTGTGCGTGTGCGTCTGCCTGCGTAGCTCGCATCAAGGGACACGCACAGGTATCCACATGGTCAGAGAGGAAATGTTTTTGCACGGGCTGACGTCTTTCGGTAGAATATTAGCACGAGGCATAGTGCGTGTGCGTGCGTGTGCGTGCGTGTGCGTGCGTGTTCCGACGTGTGGCGGCTAGTGTGACTACCTGGTTGCACACACGCACGTGCGCGTCAGGCTTCTCTGCACAGCATGTAAGCACACTGAACAGGCACACTTTGACCAACCTCCACTCATGTCAGATTCAAAGAGCCAGTAACTACAGTAATCAGCGTACGAATCGTAATTGTAATCGTGTGAGACAGTGATTATGCATTGGGGCCATAACCGACATGTTAATTTTCGAACGTTCGATGCTTACACAAATAATCGCTCACGGTTCAAATGGACTTTCCTTGTCGTTTGAGCGTAACTGTAAGTGATTTTACGCTTATCAGACGTTATATCGATTTTACCAGAAATACTTATTCCGCTGATAAGGAAATCTTTCAGCAGTTCATTTCCCTTCTCATTGAACACGGTCGGCCGAACACCAAGGCGGTTCTACATGTGCATTCGTGTGCGCCTTGTGTTCGTTACGTGTCCAGCCGAGGCGCAATAACAGCTAAATGATTCATCGGTCTGTCGGCATTAAAAATAATCACTGTCAGCGATGCCCATAGGTATCGATATCTCTATTTGTCACACACTGTAGTACTTTCCACGCGCCATGTATGTTCACTAATGTGTGTACACTGAGCGTCATTAATGGCGTTCAGCTTGTCGACGCAGTGCGGGGTGGATGAGTGGAGAGTGGACAGTGGCTGAATACGTAAGCACGACGCAGAGAGCGCTATGGTACGAGCGAGACGCGAAAGCGTCGTACGGTGGGTCCTTTTCGCACAGCATGAGTGGGAGTGAGACGGCCATACGGTCCCTGAGTCGCACACGGAAGCTGGGTGTGGGCATCTTCTTCTCCTGTAATATCGCCCAGGCTAGTTAGCATTAATGCGAGAGAAAAAAAAGGTTTCCCAGACATATACTGTTTATAGCGAGCGGAGACAATGATGCCCCACCAAGCTCCGAAGTAGGACTTAGGGACCGTATTGCCGTCTCGCTTCCACTCGTGCTGTGCAAAAAGGACGCACAGAGCGACTCTTTGGCGTCTCGCTCGCGCCGCAGTGCTTGCTGCGTTGCACGCACACGTATCCGGGCACGTCGGCTGTCACCACCCACTCTCCTCTCTTACCTCACCGCACTGCGTCGACAAGCTGGACACCATTAATGACGCTCAGTCTATGTATATCCGCGCATCAGTGCGATTAACGACGCTCCTAGTATCCGGTGTTAAAACAATAGCACCGTGGCACCAAGTCAAGAGTCAAAGGGCGAAGTCTATAACTGCTAGCAAAGAAAAAGTTATGAAGCCGTCTTGCATCGCTCGTAAGGTGATTGCGTTTCTACGAATTTAAAGTGAGTTTTCATGCGCATTACTACACATAATGACAGTGCAGAACCGCATGAGATCAGCCCACGAGAATTTCCTTTCCATTAGACACAACCCACAGTTGCAGTGTGCGCTTACCACCAGTGCATTACGTAAAGGTCACGAATTCCACGATTTATCAACCTTTATCAATTTTTATCAACCTGAAAACTCAAGCAGACCCCTCGAATCTGTCGATGCAAGCGCTGAGTGATTCCACCAGGAGTCGCTCGTGAAGCAATTCTTGACCCCCCATGGAATCCAGGATCACGTCGCTCGCAGCAGATAGGACGTATAGATATAGCAGTTATTCGTCTCGGACAGAGTGCAATCCTACTAGTTTCCATATGCTTCTTACAATTCCCAATAAAAGCTGCATAAATATTTCGTATACAAGGTCCTCCATGAGTCCCGTTCGGGATAACTTTGAAATGAGAACCTTTCGCGTAATTGGAGTCAACGATGCGCACCGAGTGGCCTCGGCCATTGTCTGCATACAGTTACTCGATCGTTGCGCGAACACGCACGGAGTAAAAGCATTCTTCAAGGTGTCCTGCTCTCGCTTGAAACATCCAGCCAAGGGGCGGTCGATTGAGAAGAGTAGATTTTCAATGAAAATAGAAGTTACTGCTCGCAGGCTTGTAGGCACGTCAAGGCAGCGACGGACGGGAGAGCAGTACCCACAGCTCAGCATTAATTTGAAGATGTCTTTATGACACATCGGCTGCATGCGCGATGCGTATGTACGAGCGGAGGGCGTTCAGTTATTTTTGCGTGTTAAATTCTCTGGTGCGGATGGACGCGGATGAGATAAGCTATCGGGTGACAGTACGGTACCAATACATGGACGATACGTCAATGACCTTGTGCAAGTGAATTCCCAAGACCGTATCGATACCTAGCGGCGTCAGTGCACACATAGGACAGTCCGGCATCGGTGTGGCGGTCCAGCTTGACAGCTATCGCGGTTACGTGCATGCTTTGTCGCATAAATAAGAACACGTGTGTACAACCATCACGTGGAAATTCCTCGATTCATAAAAAAGTGATGTCACCAAATGTATCGAAAAGATTCGAATGATTGGTCTCAATTTCCGTGATGCTGATTAGTCGGCTGATGTGTGTAAATTTGACAGCTATGGTTGCTAGCAGCATGAGAGATATTGACGGATGTCAAATCGGCAGAAACGTGTGGCTGCAGCAGACAGCCTTAGGTACATTGAGGCGGGTTAATGCCTTAATTTATTGCTGAACAATTAATTGTAATGATGTAATGCGCTGCAGGACTGATTGCGTGTAGGACATTAGGAGATTACATGAGACATCTAAATGTTTATTCAATTTACAATTGAATAATAGGTCACTACAATTTTGAAATAAAATAATCGATGGTAATTAAATTTGGCAACGATTCTCTTGTTTCTTTCTCTTTAAAATATAAGTGTTCATCTTTGTCTCTGTGATCTCAATAATTTCCAATAACGTCGCAGTTGCTGCGCGATGCGTGCTGGTGTCAACGTGAGGTCGATGGCGAATTGATATTCCGGGGAGCATCAGCTTCTTACGTGAGTGTATGTGCATAGAAAATGAAGCAGCGAGTTAGTCACAGCAAGTGAGGACTGTGTAGTCTTGTTTGCGCGTGTGCATGTACGCCTGCGTAATATTTACGTGCGGGTCGTGCGTAGCGTGTGTCAAAGGTCACTGACACTCTGCCAGCGTTTACAGAGCCAGAACCCGTATGGGCAATCAGCATAAAACAGTAAAATCGAATTTTCATTTCCTGAGAAATTAATTGTCATTGATTTCCTGAAGGCGAATAGAACAATTAGAAGAAACGGCGGCAGAAAGAATTCGCGACGATTGCGAATAGATACGTGTAAACGTAACGCAGAGAGACGAGGAATAAAAAGTGTATCACTAGTAGTCTAGGAGCTACATAAATAACGTTGTAGATTCGCTGCAGGCGCCCATGGGATATGTACCACAGCTATACGTCTAAGGGGAGTGTCCCGCATGCACCTGGACAGCCCCTATAATACTTCTTCTAGCCGAGCGACCCTATCCTGGATGCTGCGCGCTACATGAAAAATTAAAAAGAATCTCGCAGGTATCGCAAATATTTCAGCCTCATCGATCCTACGATTCACCTAGAAACGTGCACAAATGGTACCGCCGGTAATATTATAATTGTCTTGGGTATTTTAATTCATTGCGTGACGTCACTGCTCCGCAACATCGCGTCTCCCTGACTGACACGAAATGCATCCACGAGTGCAACGGCGGATGCCGGCGTCTCGGATGGCTCGGCCTAATCATTTTTCCTCGTAAGAAGAAGTTCGTTGACACCGAATCTCAGGCGATTCCCTGCGCTGCATCGAAAAGCAACGAGGCGACGCGATCCAGCCGAGGTACATGTTCTTCTTGTATTTTCCTCGATAAGCTGTTCCATATTATTTGTTCACTCTCCCTTCGACTCTTGTCTCTCTTTTCTCTTTTCTCTTTTCTCTTTTCTCTGTGCCTTTTTTCGTGCGCGCACGATAAGCTGGCGCTTCATCACGACACTCGAATGGCCACGCATACGAACATACGAACAGACGAACAGACGAACCAACGAACAAACGAACGCATTGTTCCGCTTTGTCGCTCACCCGAGCATCTCGTACCTACGATTGGCCCGTTCTCCCTTCTCTATCCAAGTCCTTTCTATTTACTGCCAACACAGTTTTGGTGCGAGTCATTCTTTCCTTCCCGGAGAACCTCAGAGGGACGGAAAGAGGATAAGAAACAGAATCCATGAGTATGGGAGTTGTCGATATCCAATCGATCTGCAATACCGACGGAGAGTTTCAATTAAATGACCATTAAGCGCGCGAGATTTAATCTGAAAAGCCGCCCTTATCTGCCGCTCGGTGTAGGATCCAACAGAATCTGTCTTATCTACAGGAAGAAGAGTCCGAGGATCATTGCTTGCCAGAATGCACGTATAAATGTAATAAAAGGATGCGACATCGTGGAGAGAGAGAGAGAGAGAGAGAAATACAAAGTACCCGTTAGTATAAGAGACACCATATAATACAAGCTATATTCTCATCAAACATATATATATTGGACGCAATTACCTCAAAGTCTATGGAGGTTAGTCTTTGGCATAATTTACATATATATAAAGTTACAACAATACGCAGGGTATCCCGTAATTAATCATTAATCAGTTATCCCTACCTTTATCGCAGACGTCGCATAGGACCATTGTCCAGCACGTGAAGTATCCCAGTCACATCACACCGGAGTCACCCTAAGAATATTATCCCCGTAATCATAGTGTGAATTAGGGAATGAAGTTAATTACGCTAGGCGATCTTTTTTTTTTTGTAGGAAATTCTCAAGGACACTGCCGACAAGCTCGGGGAGGGGGGAGGGGGGAGGGAGGGCTGATCCACGTTAGTCGGCGATAAGTGAAACACAAAAATACCTCCGGGGCTCCGCGGATTAGAGCGAAGCGAAGCAACGAACGAAGTGGCGTTAGCACGGTGAACTACTAGAGAGAGAAAGAGAGAGATAGAGAGAGAGAGAGTGAAAGAGAGAGAGAGAGTGAGAGGAGGGGGGAGAGAGGAGCAAAGTGGTGGAGAATGTGCTAACGGTTTGACAGCTACGTTTGTACTGGCGAGCATCAAGCATCAGGCATATGGTCGACTGTGAACAGAGGGGATATTTCATTGTGCCGAGACTGTACCAGGATGGTGGGGACTACCAAGGAACCGCAGATCAATATTAGGGCGTAGACTGGAGGGCAATAAGGGCTGCGAGAGAACCGAAGATAAGCGCACGACTGATAAGAAGAGACGCGACACCTTCGATTGCCGATCGTTCTTATGCCGTCATTCGACTCTTGTATTTCTCATTCCGTTTGGACCACCTTTATCTTCGATTTTACCTCTTTCTTGTCATTCACGGATGATCTATGTACAAGAAATGGGAGCTGATTGAATCCTCTATATAATAATGATAATTGTACCCTCTATTTGGTAAACTATCGCGCTTTTTATAGTAATAATAATTATACATATATAAACTACCATGCGAGGGGTCGATCGTTTGAACGTGGCTTTTAGGTTACACTAAATAATTAGGCGGTTGATCGATCAATCAGTTTTTAGCTTGAATCAGTGTTAACTGTCGAAAGGAACTTTTTTTTTTCTTTCCACGAAACTCACCCGAGATACTCGGATTCCTGCGTTATCAGCTGTTTAGTCACTCAGCAACGCGATAACCCTGAGACTCTTGTTCCTGCTGAGAGTCACTGTCTAGTGTCTACAATTAAGAATCTATGTGTATGCATGCATAATACAGTGCCGATGCATTACGCCCTTCCTACTTGAGCACTTGGCACTGCCACACTACGGTCTTATTTAGCGAGAGAGAGAGAGAGAGAGAGAGAGAGAGAGAGAGAGAGAGAGAGAGAGAGAGAGAGAGAGAGAGAGAACAAATGAGAAACTATTAGCTCAACGGTAAAAGGTTTTTCCAAGCTGACATAAGCCCGCAGCCAATTCTGTTAACCAGAGCCATATGTGCGGAGTGCGCATATGCTGGGGTCTGAGGGACCCTGACCTGGGCCAGCACAGTACCGCGTGCATGGGGTCCCAAAAATAGGGGCGAGTACAGTCTAGGAATTCACTAAGGTTCCTCCACTAAGGTCCACGCGTGCCTTTCAATCATTCTTCATCTTTGCCAATAATCCGATTTCTATCTTTCTTTTTTCTCTCACGAGGAAGCCGTTTAGGCCATATTTACTTTCTTCCTTGATCTCTCCAAGAGAATGCAGCCGTTTGTCTTCTTCTTCTTGTTCTTTATTAAAGTCACCTTTGTCCAATATATAGTCTATTATTCTTGGTTTATGAAAAGCTTACCTTTCGACTGCTCTTCGCTGTCAGAGTGAAGATCCACGTCGTGCAACCTCATGGACTGGACGAACCCTCGCCAGTGACTTCTCGGACGCCCACGTCGATTTATATCGGCCTCCAAGTCCTTCAGCTGCTCATTGGATTCTTGAAGTAGTCCTTCCAGGATATCTGGCCTCTCTAACGTCTTCCTGGTTCTGTCCTCCTCCTTGACACCGCTCGGCATATTTGGAAAGTCCAGAATCGTTTGTTCTGGCTCTGTTGTTCTGAAGTCTCTTTTGCGCCGCGCGGGCGGTTGAGGATGCTGTGCATTCTCAGTTGGGCCAACAGAATCCAGCATGGACCTCCTGACGTACTCATTCTCAAAAAGACTTGTGCAAGTATTCCTATTGAATGTCGAAAATTTCTCACTATTCATAGTCTGTGATATGTCATTGCTCGCGGGCTTCTCGTTTCTACGCTGATCCTTTGTCGGACTGTTGGATTTTGTCAAGTGCAGGCTCCTTGAGATATCCTTATCCCTGAGTTTCTCCTTGATGGAGATGTCCTTATTGTTCCTGGATGCTTCCACTATCTTCTGTGCGAGCAATTTAGTTCTGCTGGTCTCGGGGCAGAGTTTCTTCTTCCTCTCAGCATCCTCGAGATCCCTTTGATTCTTTGAATTTTTCAAGTTTGACCTCCTGGAGCCTTCACTTCCAGAATCTTGAAACATCTGTTGTATCCTAAATATATCCGAGCATATCCTAGAGTTATCATTGTGTTTTTTCTGATTGATTCTCTCTTTTCCCGAGAAGGTAGCAATCCTGGAAGGTGCATCCTGGCTCCTACTCGGTTTCAAGCTCTTCTCCGGCGAAGAGGACGGGGTCGTTCTGAGTCTCTCGAGGTCTTTGAGATTCGCGAGCATACTGCTTTGAGAATGAGTTCTCGAATTTTTCAAATTTTTATTTTTTAGCCCATGATCCACTTGGTGGCCAAGGGCAACCGAGTGCGGCCTGTTCACTTTACTGTTCCTGCCAATCTGTTCTATGGGCGTCACAGAAGAGTCCACGAAGACAGTTTCTCGAATTTGATTGATATTCCTGAGTCTGGGCACGCCAACGACCTTCACCCCGGTATTCCTGAGGATGACTCTTTCGACCGTCTCTATATCCCGTTCGCGTCTCAAGCGCCTCTCCTCGATCAGCTTGGCATTTTCCTCGTCGATGTGTTGCGCCAGGTACGACGTGGTCCTGGCACCTTGTTCATTGAGACGACTGGTGCGCAGAGGTGCCATCCTGACGAGTCGTGGCGCATCCCTTGGCTCGTCGGTCTGCAATGTACCCCTGAACACCATTTCCGGCCGCGGTCCTGGGGCCCTTTGTTCACGGTTGCTCCCTCTGCGTTTCACGGCGTGACGTTCACAAAGCCTTCATACTGCTCGCCGTGCAACCTGAAACGTGTCAAACTATGTACAGTCTGATTCAATTTCAAGTGATTCAGTGCAAAGCCACTTCGCTCCAGGACTCGGAGACGTTCGCGTTTCAAGACTTACACCGATCTCGGGACTCACAAAAGCATATGCGTATGTATATGTTGTACCGGTCGATGTACAACTAATCGTGTAAGATCTATTGATCTTCAACTACGTAATATCTAATTGACACCCCTTCCATTCTTTTTCCTTTCCTTTTCCAGGGATCCTACGATCTACCAGTGATCATGCAGGGCCCGTATATTGGCAGGATGGTGGTATATCTGTACAGACTGTTTTCACAACTGATTCTACCAGTCTTGATGAAGGCCAGGCCCCAATGTGGGTGTTAGAAAATGTAGGCAGAGCCATGTGTTGCAACAGGGCCTCGTTTCTATGCGTTTGTCGCATAATTATTTTATTAATATATGTCACGAATCAATTTATCAATAAAACTCTCTGGATGACATCATTCCATTTACGATAAAAAGAAAATCAAAGTGAAATTAGGACAGATCAACAAGCAGTGACGCCACTTTATTTTATTTCCTTCAGCAGTGTGAATATCGGATGATCTTTGTGATGATGTCAAGTACTCACTCGTTGAGGTATTGCAACCGGTATGAGCATCGGCACCGATCGTAATATGTGGCGTCGAACAATGTGCGCCGCAATCCTTTCCCGATTCTGCATATAAAGTCCTTGAAAGTCTTGGGAGTGTCCTGAAGTCTGCTGTTGCGTACCGATATTACCAGTCAGGAATTCTGTGCAGGAAGTACTCACGATAATTGTCACTATTGTACATCGCCGCAACTTAATGTCGTCGGCATACAGATAGGAGACAATAAGCACTTGCGAAGAAACGGCGAGAAGTGAGAGAAGGAAAGAAAAGTAGAGTAAAGAATAAATAACTCCATAAGCCGCAACGAGAGTCTAAATTATGGTTATGGAGGCCAACGTATCTAAGTACGTATCTCCTAGGAGTCTATTGTCCTGAGGTAACTGTACTAATTACAATCGAGATAATGGGTGCCATGTGAGTAACGAAGCGTGAGGTTAATATTTAGCTATTTTTTTTTATTTATACATTAATAATATTAATAATATCAATTAGAAAATTGTTTTGAAAATACAAAGTGTCAGAGATCCAATGAAAGGGTATTTACGGTAACGAGGGGGCCCAACAGATAAAGGCAGAAGCCGCTGCTGAAGGTGTCGTTATGCTCTGCCGTCGCGCGTAGAACTGAACGTCAGCGGACGGAAAAGGCAGCGGCGACGCAACCAAACGAAACACTATCGCGGGTACCGTGTTGGAACCGTATAGAGAAGGTATGGAGCGTATCAAGCCAAAGGTAACGCGGCGGACGAGGGGCAGAGACAGGCACACACGCACACACGCACACACGCACACACGCACCCACGGAGAGTGGGAGACGGACGTGTCGTATACGCATAGACTCGTACAAAGATAGCCCAGTGTCTGCCCTGCCGCGTCTCTTCCTTTCCATTCCTTCAGTTCCGCCGATGGATGATGCTGCAGCGCTGTGCGCCGTAGGAACTTCCCTGCCCGGACCCAAAAGACGCTGTGGGCTGCTGCTGCCATTGATAGTGGCACTTCTCGTCTCTCCATTGTTGCGTAATACCGGCTTCATCAACTTCATGCGCAACCCTAGAGACTGCGTCGAGCAATTATTCAATTAATCCAGCTCATTATGTGTCCCGCTCCAGGATTCAGAACACTAGAAATATCTGTTCTTACAATTAGTCGCGATTATCTGCGTTCTAAGCAGCCAAACAAAGCCCCCTACGCTGGATTCGCACGTTGCGCAAATTTCAACACGTGGCACGTGTACCTTGTGTTCGACCTTATAATTTTGCGCAAATGCACTGGGCATTACTTCTATTGCAGGTGTGCGAATTTTCTTGACTGTGCTGCCCAAAGTCCTGTAGTTTCTCGAACGGTAGCGAGGGAATGAGTAACCAGATTGCTTTCTTTTAGGTTAGGTTTCAGCACTGCAACGTATTACGTATTGATATATGCTCCGATTATGCCTTTCTAATTTCATATGGGGTGGGGGTATTAGTGTGGTTATGGAGGACTCGATTAGGTGTGTCAATTGAAGGTGCTGAGAGAGGTCAATGATCGGCTTAATTACCATTGGCTAGTTAGTCCCAAGTCATGTGCTAGGTTCATCATCTCTCTTAAGAAGTGCGCCGACTAAATGACGTCCCGCTTCGTCCGCGGACTACATTATTCTTCCTCTGTCTAGGCCGGTTTAAAAAAGAAAAGGAGAAGTTGCCCGGGTCAGGGCGACCCGGGTGGCCTTCGACGCCTGGAAATACGAATCCAAAAAGAATCCTAAAGAATTCCTCGAAAATTCGACCTTCTTCTAGCAGTCGTTAAAACGCTTCGCTTCCTTCAAGAGTCTAGAGCAGTCTGCACAGTATCGTTACACGTACTTATTATTCACTTGACTGCGAGATGGTGTGTATCCTTTGTCAACCGAATCTATATTGTTTCCATTGTTGTCCGCATTGTTATACGGGAGCGCCAGTATTGCCCAGATATGCATCCGAGTTCCAGGGCAGGACGTGCCCAGATCGCGGTGTCATAATCACTCTTGAAATTCCAATGATTTCAATACATCTTATCTCGGCTCATTAGCTCAAAGTAATCTTGCTTGTTCTCTGGATGCGAGATCTACGATCGTGCTCACCGGCCCTGACCATTGCACCACCTGGCTAAGAGATTGAACGCGTGTACGCTGGTGGGTTTTTTTAATGGTCTGAAGGACCGGCTTCCTGTCCGATCCCGGAAATGAAGCACGTGCTTCGCCATATCCGTCAGTAGGATACAGTTAGCTTTAGCCGCTCTAGGGACAGTTTCCACTTCGGCAAGAGAATCAATCGTAAGAGCATCCAAACAATTGAGTTTGCCTCTGTATGTGTGTGTACATATATACATATATATGTATATGAAGTGCAAAATATATCATAGAAATTCCATTCGATTCGTATTTGCAATTGTAATGGAAACTTTGGTGATTATCAACTTGTAATAATAATAAGAAGAACATTTCTCTTCTCTATCAGAGCTCGATCTACAAAATTGAAAATAACAAAATTGTTCTTTTATCACAACGTGGGCCGAAAGAGGTGATAGCGTAGGTCGTTGGCGCGCGTAGGCACTGTGCGCTGCCTAATACGTGCCTCGGGTCTACGAATTCTCCTGAAGAACGTGTGGGTCAATCGAGTCATTAAGTATTACAAGGAAATCATCGACCACTCAGGTTCCTCTTAATTATATGCTGCTACCAAATTATATTGACAATAATCTACCGTATAGAAAAAAAGGAAAAAAAGCTAATATGACAATCCACTATTATTATTGTATCGCTTTAATAACTATTTGTAATCTGCAAGGTAAAAGAACGAATATGTTTCAACTGCTAAACACGTGTCGGCTAATAGCAAAAAAGCATGTATTTCGTCTCTTGAAAAATGTATAAACAGTAAAGGACGAAATCTAAAGAGAATCTTAGCCCCCTTAGATTAGGAATATAGATTGAGAGAAAACTGTGAGGGTTGCTGGCGTAGAGCGTGGTGCTTTTTAAAAAATTCAAAAGGCCGACGTTTCCGTCAATAAATCGCGACATTTTGGCCTTAAACGTTAAACATTTATCTCTGCGTTCATTTATTCTCACGGACCTTTATAAATAAATAATCCAACTTCGCGTTAAAGTCACGCGCACGTGGCACTCTTTTTATATGATGAACATTTCATGACTCTGGCACGTGATAAATGATAGGCCAGTTAAATGTTATTTACCGAAATCCATTTGTTTTTTTGATACGAGTCAAATGCGGAGTACTGAATACATGGCTACAGGCATACAGGCCCACAAGAGGTGCCAACGATTAACCTTATAAATAAAATAAACCCTTTAGATTGGTATAGCCGCTCAATTATTCATCGCATTGAAGCACAAATTGCTTTCTGTATTTTTATATGTATATCTATATTTATGGTATATTCATTGATTCTAGCAGCAATTATAATAAATCGCAAGACTTTGTGTTCCGGTTAAAATTGATAATGAAAAAACTGAAGTTGCAATAACATTGATGAACAAGGTGCAATTCGAATAAATTGGTTAAGTAAAGAATTCCCTCCTCGTTATTCGCAGGCCGCTCGTTGATTTTCTGCTCTGATTGAAGGAACTTCTTGTAAAATGATTATCGTCACTTTTCTCCGTCGACAGCCTCGAACAGCACCCGCAGGTCCTCCAGTGAAATATTATTACCTCGGTCAGCAGGATGACGCAGCTCAGAATCATGCCACTGCCGAAAAGTACCAAGGCCAGGGCTATGCTCCAAAATCCTGTCTCAGTCCTCACGCTTTCATTGGAATCGTCATTCACGAAGTATTTTGTAATCAATCGATGGATTATCCCGTTTTCGCGAAATTTCTGCAAGCTAATTCGTCAGATTACAATAAAACACTTTGACTCGCAGTCACGACACTACGTACTTGCGATTTATTAATTCTTTGTAAGGACTGTGCTTTGGCAGTGCTATTCCTATGCTGCTTGGACGACCAGTATTCAAACTCGCTATTTTACAGGATAACTTCATTTTTATCAGCGATATGCTTTCCACGTAGAATCCCGCATTACCATTACAAACCTTAATTGGATTAACAGAGTGTAATACTTACTATCGATTGGCAATTATTCTTTTATTTAAGCAACATCAATTATACCTGCGTAAAAGCCTCTTCAAGATTTCTCGGCAGATTCTCGCGCTTGTCCGACATCAAATACAGTTTTCTGAGTACAGGATCAGTAGAGGACTGTAAGGGGCGTTACATTACTTCGTACGCAATTAAACAAGTATTTGGTAAACGTTACTAAATTTACACGCTTTAAATACTTACTACAAACATGTCGCGAATAGCGCCCTCGTACTGAAATATGAATCTGTAAGTACTTTGTGCTGCGAATTCCTCGAGACTGCTAAACGGCAATTCGTCATTCGATACTGCCAAATTACTCACAAGTGTACCAGAGTAGGCAGAGTAAGTGATTAAGGATGATACGAAGATAGAGAAGTAGGCCAATTTAGATGAAAAATCCTTTGGAAAATCTATAGGCAAATCGCTGATAATCCCAATCAAACAGTGCATACGAAATATTTATTAAAAGCAAACTTACGAGTCAATCCTTGCTGACAATAAATTCCCAAAACTTGAAGGTAATCCTGTATTATCAGGTGTCCCGCGACCTCCTCTTTCTTGACCAATGATATTATTGTCAAGAGGATCGGTGTTGTCAAAACCAACATGCCTATAGTAGCCCATATGCCTGGACTGAGCGCCTATGCAATAGAAACGATGCAATAACTAAAGAAACAAAGTGAATGGTGGTGGCGAGAGACTTGTGTATTTCTAGTTTCCTAATAAATTATCTAATTTACATGTTATGCGTACACACACCTGAAAACTTTCTGTCCAGCGTAAGGGCTCCTCCGGTCGTTTAATGTAAAGCCTATCGACGGACGACAAGATCGGTATTGCGAAGTCAACGTCACGAGCGCGCTCGGTTGTCATACGGAGCACGATTCCTGCCACGTCTATTTGCTTGGTCGTCAACATATGCATTACGCCTGACCATCTTTTCGTTCTGTAATCCCAGCTGCCGTAAGCTTCTGCATTCTCCATCACGTATTGTATGTTGAATTTGACAGCCTTGCTCAATTCGTACATTATTTCGGCGGAAAAGTCGTCGATGGTGCCAAGTTGCATTGTACCGTATTGCGATTGCTAAAAATAATACAAGAATCTAACGTTAACTTTAGCAATCTCTTCTTAAGTCAAAGAAAAAACACTCTATTGATTTCGATAGCGAATGTCACTCACGTGCCCTCCGACTTTCAGTGTCTTTCCATACAAACTGTTGCGTCTTAAACGGATATCTTGTTTCACTTGGAAGACTAGATTTTCGTCGGACTTCCAAGATGCTAACTCGTCGGCTCTGGTCTTGTTGCCCTGAAGATGCCACTCGTAGACCATCCTTTCGCTAAAGGAAAGGTGAAGCATCTCCGTCACTTCGGTTAGTCCCAGAATATTGCTGTCAGGATTCTTTCTGAGTCCATTAACGAGGATGCGGGCTTCTTCGGTAGCCAGGATAAGCCAGACAGGATAGTCGATGTTGCTGATACGGACGTGTCTTGCGAAATTCGTAACAGATTCGCTGCTTCCCAGCAGAACCAGTTGAACAGGACGGGTATTGCAAGCTTTCCATTGTTTTTGTATTTTGTTATTGTTTTCTTCTAATAGACTCATCGTAGACGTAAGAAACATAGATTCGGAGAACAAACGGGAGAGACTGTGAGCAAGGCTGACTGAAGATTTTTCTGAAAGAAAGTCGAAAATTTAATAAAGCGAAACGCTGTTGCACAATGAAATTTCTAGGCAGAGAGAAAGAAGAATAACGGAATCGGCCACGATTTATCTAGCATCTTGTATCAAGATTTGTGGATCAGTTTGGTTAATTTATTACCCTCGAAGCCATTATGTAAAATGATTATACAGGAACTGCTGTAATACTCCAGCACATTCTTGGTAATACGAAAGTAATTCTCAATACGTGCTGGTGCCTCTGCGTCAATGAAGTTTCTTGATGAAAAGCTATGCAATGTCAATATTACAAGTATGTTCGCTATAACCGATGTCATTGCGGTGTCTGAGGGGTTTATAGTATCGCGAACATAACCAGTCTGTTTCCTCTGAGCACTGTTCTTCTAGAATAACATTAACCGGCACGAAGTCGTTGAGCAGTAAGCCCTGCTGTCGTTTTGCTATGACTACCAGCTGTGCATGTGTAGCAGGAAAGATTAATGTATGCCAATCGGTAGACAGACGTATGTCGGTGGTGCTTATCGATGTGATGTGAATAGCCGCATGAAATACGCGTGAAAACTGAAATAAGGATCAGTCGCTCCGGTTATTATAGTTATAAATATATAATCGACTTTCTGATAAGAGCGTTCATTTAAGATTAATTTTTAAACGAATTATCGAAAAAAAAATCTTACCATGTGAGATGTGTAATTATTCTCTTGACATTAACGTAAGGTGCGATCTAAAAAATGGTTTTTCCTTGGTAAGTTGGATTCTTTGCGGTAAGTCACATTCTCTATTATTAATATAAACAAAGAGAGCAGTATTCCTGACGCCAGTATTGTTAATAGAGGTACAATATTTTGAATGGTGACTCCCTTAAAGCTTCCAATAAAGGGCTCTGTTTTCATTGTATAACGTATTTTAAGTCGATTCAGGATTCCCCTGTCCTCTAATTTCTGGAGCCTGAAAGAGAGACCTTCATAACAATATTGATCTCTTGGAGCCTTTAAATAATATTTAGCAATTATTAATATAATTTCTTTCTCTTTGGAACAGCTTACTGATAATTTATAAGTCCTTTGTAAGGACTGTTTTGCGATATGCCAAACGCAAGTGAATTCTTGTGACCACTTTCCAAACTGGCAATGTGACAGGGGATATCGTCGCCCAAAATGCTATTGAGAGCATCCGTTACATAGAATCCAATCTTCTGGTTACAAACCTTCTGAATCGCTTCCTTGAGACTCGTCGGTAATAATGCGTCCTCCTCCATCTTAGTCCACATATGGCGGGACGTTTGATTCATGGAGATCTGTTTGGCAATAGTCGGTGAGGACCGTTAGCGAGTTCGTTAACAATAAGATACCTGTTAGTACATTAGCAAATTACATTGAAGAACTTACCGCAAAGAGATCGTATTCGGCGGATTTAGCTACCACTGTCAATTTATATGAATTGTCGTTGATAAATTGATTCATATCAGAAAATGGTATATTATATTCAGGCAGGGCTATGATGCTGATTAGAAACGCTGAATATACCGCATTAAACACCCAGGCCGAGAGAAATATAACAAAGTAGGCGATTCGGTTGGACAATTCTCGAGGAAGATCTGACGCAAGAATATGAAAAGACGACAATGATGTTGATAAGTTTACAGATTCTACGTGAAAGTGCGAGAGTTATCATACATATACCTAAGCTTCCCTGAAGGCAATATATTCTGAGAACACGTAGATAGTTTTTCAGCAGGGAATTGAAGAAGGAGGATTTAACTCTGCTTAAGCGGGACAGCGTCAAGAATGCACAGGCCAGTAACGTTATCGTTCCTATGCAATTCCAGCCCTCTAGTATAAAGATCTTAAAAAGAAAATTTTAATCGATAGCTTCAGCAATTAATCACGAAAATGGGATGTTCGATTAACTAAGATTTCCATACTCTCAAATACGCCGTCCAGTGTATGGTCGCTCTATTCGATATTTTAAGAAATAAACGGTCCATCGAGGATAACACGCCTCTGCTAAAGTCCACGTCCTTCATCCTGGTAGTGGTGATGGTGAACCCACCAACTCCAATTTCGGCCCAGCCGTTCACTAGGTAACCGATCATACCTGACCAATTGTCAGTTTCAGGATCCCACGTTCCATAGGCATTATCTGTCGCCAAATAGACACGCATGCGAAAGTTTAACTCGTGGCTCAACTCGTTCATCAATTCACCAAAATAACCCTCCAACTGTCCATCCTTGTATCCAACAAACGGCAGATCCTTTATTATTAAACAAATATATTTATTTATAATAAGTTTTTAATAACGTTTGAATGTATTTTTTTGATTTTTTGATACAATCATATGAGACACGTGGAATTATTTTCTGCAATAATCATTGACAAAAAGCTACCGATCTGATTGGATTGAAACTTGCAGGAGAAATCAAGTTTTTGATGAAGATAAAACAGTATACTTATCTATCTGATTATAATCTTCACAAAAGTAACGAAATAATAATATTTGGACTTTCGGTTTCATGGAATCGCACGCACGATATCAATATTTTTGCGACAGAAGATACAAAAATTAAGGTCGCGTAAAGAAAAGACTCTGCTACATTTTAAACCGTTTTCCAAACTTACGTTCACTATTGTTACAACCAATGTTGTCCCTCGTAAATTGTTCCGACGGTCATATATGCTATTGTAATGTAATTGTGACAGTCCATTCCCCAGATCCCACGTAGCCCATTTACGTGTTATGGCTTTATCCTCGAGTCCATACACTTCAAAGATTATTCCGTCATTTGGAGTTGTCATCAACATTTCTGTGTTGAATGTCAGGCCCAAAGGATTTGGCAAGTTGGACCCGTGGAATTGTGGGTCGCACAGACGAGAGTCATTCTCACAGAGCAACAACCAAATTGGAAAAGCAACGTTTACAACCTTCGTTGCACGTGCCAACTCCAGCTCGTCCAGTATGGAGCTAAGAAATATAACAAACACTGGTCTCTGGAAATCGGTATAGTGGAATTGCATCACCTCGGGTAACTTCGGAATCGTCAAAACTGCAGTTGCCAGACCTCTTTTCGAGCACTGGCGAAACATCCATTGTAAAGTATTCCAATTGTTTGTACCTAAAAAGAGAAGAATAACAAATCACTTAGCATAATTGTTGCTATTTGCACTGAATTGTTAAAGTTTTTACAATCATTAAACGTTAAATTTAATTAAATGTCAAGGAACTTGCGAAAGATTCCTGCTATTCATAAAGTTTTCAGGGGCAATTTGAATGCAAAATAGCATAAAAGCGGAAAATGTGCCTGAGCAATCGCAGAATAATTGGCCATTCATGGGCATTCTGTGAGGAGTCCATTTAAAGAATCTATAAGACTGCAACGAATACGAACCATTAACCCCGTTGAACAAGAAGATGTTGTGACTCTGAATAACAGCAATGATGTCCAATATTAATTCCAAGTTTTCCTGTCGAGCGGAGCTTACAATGTTAGCGTTATTAATTGTCAAAGATATGAAAAGAAAGCTGAAAAGTGTTAGGCGCTCCATCATCCTCTGCAGATGATCTACAGCACTTGACTGCGTGAATCGGCAAATTCTCATAATTCCATCCTGTTAATGTGAATTTTCTGGCCAATTCCAATAGCACCGTGGAACATGAAGCAATAAAGGAAATGGTAGATGAGGATCTTGAGTCCTGTGACAGTCCAAACGTCCTGATCAATGTGTCATCAATCACGCGTCAACACCCACGACTTTTCCTCACTGATTCTACAGCTGCAGTAGGAATAATCAATCTATCATTTCCATTTGATTGTCGTGTCACAAATAATTGATTCCACAAACCTGCAATAGAGAGTGTTTCACGTGTATCTATAATATTTTCATATATATAGATATATATATTATAGATTATGAATAAATATATATATTTTGGATAATGATGCGAAATCGTGCATACATATGTATATATGTACACATATTTTCGGTTCTTACTGCAATTACGATAAAGTTCCTCGCGTGTCTCCGACACATATCGTTCGCGCTCTTAATGCTCACTACGTTCTCTGCATGCCTGAATATCAATTATTCAGTATTATCGACGGGACGTGGAGCTTTCTTCCGTGATAAGATCTTTACCACCGCAGTCTTTCTCACTTTCTCCGAACTATTATACTTTTCCTACCCTTGAACAAAATACTTCGCAGAAACTATTGAAAAACTTTAGTTTAAACTCGTTGAGCCGTTGGTCAAGCTTCATTATACTTTTGAACTGCTGAATAGACCCAATTTCATATTTGTCAAAAAGGTGATATGAGATCTTAGAGACACTAATAAATTTAAATGAACTTTAACAATTCATATCAACTTTATTTTCCTTGATTAAGTTTATTCAAATTATTGACAGATAATTTAACGAAAACGTAGTACGTATTTGTAAATAAAACGATAATTATAGTCATCTGTATAAGAAAACAATTAAAAAAAGAATGTTCATTAAATATTAATGAAACAATTTATGCACGAATGTATACGTATATTTATATAGTTAACGCATATGGACGCTAACGAAAATTATCTATGCTATTTATAAATTCTGCGGACCTTACAATGTCGATTTTGCTCCTTCACTATTCATTTTGGCATGACGTTTTTGCATTTTCAAAAATAACAAGTCTCTGGAATGCTTCCTCCGTATATGACCATTCTGATGATTGTGGATCACAATCTCAAAAATCAGAATGATCGAAGACAGGAGCATACCGCCAGTAATCAATGCCAGGATGAGAGCGATGCCCCAGAGTTCCACCTCCGGTAAAATATTCCTGCCTTGCTTGGACACTGTTGAAATGCGTTTTCTCATTCGGTTCAGTAGTCCATTTTCCAAGAGACGCTGTATACTGCACCAGCAGAGAACAGAAAAATGAAATTACAGAGAAACAAATTACTATAAACTGTGATCGGGATTAATACAATATATTATTGAAAGGTAAAATATTCTTGCTTACTGGAAGTTCAGCAGGCGGGTGTACATACTATTTTTTCTTAATATTAAACCAGTACTACTCTCGAAACCGCTGTCGATGCCGACAACTTTACAAGGTAAATAGATATTGATGGTATCGACAATTGCATCCTCTACGAAGAAGGCCACCTTCTCGTTGCAGACCTGCAGTGACAAATTTTAATAAGCATATTACCTTCGAGAAAATCGGATGAAAATTTTGATTTGTTGTTACTAATACCGCAGTATTGATAGAAGATGCCAATTCTATACACACGGTTCACCTGAGTTCACACGAATAAAACTATATCCTTGATTTACCTCTTGAAATCCTTGCGTCACGGTCGTTGGTAGCTTGTGTGCCGGTTTCAGTAAGGACCGCATCTTTCTCGCCATAGTGTTTTTCGATGTCTACAAAGTTTCCAAGAAAATAAATGCAATTAACAAGTCATTAGGAACAGCAAGGCACAATCTTACTTCCTTCTCACGCACCACGAACAAATCGTAATCTGCACTGGCCTGAAACACTATCATTTTATAAGAACCATCCTCGATGAAGCCTTGCATCGTGGTGAAGGGCAAAACCACCCCGGACGCAGCCAGATAACTTGTTAATGATCCTGAGTAAGCAGCCGACACAATGGTGGCCGATAGAAATACAGAGAAGAGTACGAGCCTCACCGTTGTATTCGTTGGAAATTCTGGTGATAAGACAAACGTTCGAGTTATCCGCTAGTAAGAAAAGTGCGAATGAAAGGCAAATAGCTACCAGACAATCCTTGCTGACAGTAGATTCCCCAAACGTAAAGATAATTCTCGGCGAGCAGATATAAGAAGCTCGTACCGTTTTTGAATTTGATAAGAGTAAGTAGGATTGGAACAACAAGAACTATACCGAGAATGGTTATCCAAATTCCAAAGCTGAATGCCTGTTAAAAGATACGCAACGATCGACGGTCATGAAATTGGTAACTGAATCGGTATTTGCTAAATCGCTGTTGAGTCACCTGGAAGTGTCCTGTCCACGGTACAGTTTTATCCGGTTCTTTGATATAAAGCTTCGACTTTGACAATGAAAATGGCAATGAAAAATCGATGACTTCTAAGCGGTCTGTCGTCATGGTAAACTCGCCAAAGCCCATTTCACTGTCTCCGTGGATCAGTTGCGCGATGGCTCCCGTCCAGTTTCCAGTTGCACGATCAACGTTCCCAAAGTGCGATTCGTTATTAGGCAGCTTCAAAGCAACGTTCATGATACTTTGAAGCTCATTCATTAGCATTGGGATGATTTTCTTGTCAATATGAGTGCCGGGAACATGGCCAACCAGATTCATCTGAAATTTAATCGTTACGCGCATCGCACAATAAGTAAAATATTAAGTTCTATAAGACAATAATTGTAATTATATGACGATTCAATGATGCATTTACGTTCACGAGTGTAGCTTGCAGCTGCTTTCCATTCAAATTTGATCTTCTCATGTAAAAGCTTGTATTGGCTCTCATTTCAAAGACTCCATGACTCCAGCTAGCTAAGGTCGTCAAAGTAATTCGTCCATCGTCGTAGTACCATTCCCAAATAATTTGTTCGTCCTCGCAGAGCACGAGAGTTTCAACGTCCAAAGGCAGAGCAAATGAATATCCTGACTTGCTGATGTCCGGGCACAAGTTGCCATCGATATTGCTTGAAAAAATGATGAGCCACACAGCGTAAGACATGTGTATGGTGCTTGACAGATGGACAAACTCCATTAGATTTCGACTGTGTCTTATGTATACGACGAATAAGGGTCTCGATGTACTCCTATAAAGATAATGAATTTTCTTTCCAAGAAAAGTAAAGTCCATGGACGCAGCCAATACGCCCTCAGAGGATAGGTCCTTCCAGAGGGCATTTAATGTGTCGAGATATTCAAATGCTGAAAGGAAAAATGAACTCTTCTATCTGAACTATCGGTCCTTTTTGATTGATCGTTATCGTAACTCACCATTAAATGACCTGCCGTATAAGATAAACGCACCGGAAGTACGGTAATAATTGTGAACCTGATATATCAAGGAAGTGTATTTTGTAAGTGTGTAATTTGCGTCTTCGGATAGACATTCCTCTAGATTGGCGCAACTCGTAGCAAATAAGAGGAATATCGAGGCAATTCGCATGACTGTTTCTCTAATACCTTCCTTCGCTCGTTCGTTTACACTTCTTCTAGCTTGCAGCAGCTTTTCTATAACTAAATTCAGAACGCTAGTCGTTGCATGACTGAGAATTCGAAACGCTATTATAGCAGAGCGGCCGCCGTCATTATTCGCTATGTGCGTATGCATATAGATCCATTATCTAGGCATGCTTTTTAGTACACATGCAAACGAATCGTCCGGAAAAATTGGTAGTGCAGCTGATAGAATGCACGTGTACACTAATAAATGCTCAGATATCGAATCTGCGTGAGTACGCACATAGCCAATAGCGATTTATATAAATCGGTCAAATGCTGTTCGGACGCTAATAAATACAAAAATATATTTTCTGGTCACACGAAGGCACATAATAATAATACATAAAATACTGCTTCTCTCTTCGACTATTTCATGAATTACTTAGGATAATGAGGTATTGTAGACGAGAAGCTTGAATTGAAATAGAAATCAAGTAATAGTAGGAAATTTATAATTGTTTGAGTAATTGACACCTATCAATATATCCTTATTTTTGTAATTATATTAAGATACACCTTCACAACGAATTCATTAGGGGAATATTCGTTAAATATTACTTTAGTTGTATTTACCAATTTCCATAAATTATGTTCAGTAGATATTGTGTAAACTGAATATAATATGCGGGTGAACAATCATTTGCTATAGAAGGTGTTATGTCACGAGGCTGAAAAATCGATCATGTAATATGTTTTCCCTTGACTGTGCATCAAAATGACGTAGTATTGAGTTTCCCGGCATCTATGTATAGCTATGTGCATATGCAGCATATTTGAGATTACAACAGTTATACCGCGTGGCTGCGCCTGTCCATTGGCATTCATATATACACCTGTGTACGCGCAAGATAAGATCATACGCCATGATAATCTATAGAAAGTTGATGAATTTTCTAGAAGAATGTTATCATGAATCTCTGAGTAATTCAAATGCATTATGCTCGATGTTCGCATTGAATGTGTTCAATTTTGCTGTGTAACCGGTGGGGCTGATGTAACCCAGCATAAGTCGACAAACACTCAAATGTTCTGAAATCTTTTGTCGCGATACAGGAGCGTTAGATATTAACAGAGGAATTATATTAATAGCAAAAGTGAAATCGTAATGGATCATGGAATTTTTGCATCGAGCAATTTAACTTAGCAGTCTTATGTTATAGCACAGGTTACGAATTACCTTGTGCACCGAACTTGTACATACATCCACATTGCGATGGTATATTCGTAATGATAAGAATGCAATGGTGTTATTTTCATTATGTTCAACATTTTCACGAAGCCTACACACATTTTAGATCAGCATTACTCAGTATTTATGTACATACGTAAAGACTGTGTTTAATGTCCTAAAGTGAGATGACTCACGATTCAAGTGCAGAGTGGGTCACGTGAACCCGACGATTTTGACATCTCATTCAAAATGTCCGGCGATGCCCGGCATTTGTCTTGTCTCAAGCTTGTCTTTTGATTTTTACAGATATACGTCAAGCATCTTTCACCACGTTGACGACTCTGAAGTTATTGAATTGATCAGTTATATGAAAATTTGGAAGTATACTGACGCCTCTCCAAAGAGTGACATTTACTCATGAAAGGAAAAAAATGATGAAAATTCTAAAGCAGTTTGTATGGCGTGGCCGGATGAACCGATTCATACGCAATCATGGCTCCACCGTCGACATGCGTAGTCATGCCGAGCGGCCATTATTGCCCTAGTATAGTATAAAAGCGCCGTGTAAGCGCTTGTCTTCGCATTACTTGGCATTTTAGCATCGAAGTTGTATGTGATACGGATTGACAGTGATAATTGTCATTAGTGAATATTTTACAAGAGAGGGCAACTCTATAAACTTGAATAGTAGCCACTTTTGAGAATACGACTTTTTTCTTTACGCAATTTGTCTTCTTATAACGAGCTCAAAGATGACTTCAAGCGTCAGCTTTAAAGTTTATTTGACCAACGACGACGATCGTCATACGATTAAGGAAGTGAGACGATTTGGGATTGACAAGGACGTTTCCGAGAGTTTCCTATACTTTCGCGAAAAGCTGCAGACAATTTTTTCAAGTCTACGTGGAAGACATTTTTCTGTCTATTGGAAAGGTAAGCGAAATTCTTTGTTAGTCGTACTGATAACACTGTATTACCGTACTGCGTAGTAACAATTTTCTTATTGGTCATCGTCTTTTTACGTTTAAAATTCCACAATAATGATTTTTCTGATGCAACTTTTCTAGATGATGACAACGATAATATCGTTGTCTCTAGTGACGAGGAACTGAATATAGCTATGGGAAATGATCAGGCCAAAGCGTTTAAATTTTACGTGACGCCTCACTCCGATACTCCTGTAGTGCCTCCTAGAAATCAGATGCCACAGTGTAATTCTGGTCAAAGTCATCCTGGAATAATCTGTGATGGTTGCGATAAAGGGATCAGAGGCTTTCGATATAATTGTATTCAGTGTCCAGATTATGATCTCTGTGCATCTTGTGAAGCTAAGGGCTTGCACCAGGAGCATTGCATGATTCGTATTGCAATTCCTATGCAGTGGAAATCTCAGTATAACCGACGCTTTGCTCATCTTATGAATAGATTTGCCAAAAAGGCTGCAGCTTGTGAAGCTAAGGAAGAGGCCCAGAAAAAATGTCCATACCGAAGCAACAGACATTCAAGATCACATCATCATGATCCTGAAACTCCTTCCTGGATGGAGACTCTGCTGACATATTTAAATGATTGGACCAATCTTCCTGAAGATGGACATTGCTCACTATTTGAAAAATCAGAAAAAGCATCTCAAAAATCTAAGTTCAATGAAGGCAAAAAACCTGAGGATGATAAGAAGCCACTAGATCTGCACAACGAGTTTTTAAAAAATTTGGGTGACAACATATCCCAAATACTGGATCCTTTTGGCATTGACGTGAATGTTCAAGTCAGGAATGACGACGTTCCAGTCGCATCACCAGCGTCAAATCAAGATGAAAAAACACCACAAGCACAGCAAGTTCCTGGGGAAAATATTCCAAAGTTTCCAGGCGAGGGAAGGAAGCTGCAAGAAAGTCCAGAGAGGGAGTCTCCTGCAGCCAAGCCATCACCAATACCACCCACACATTCTGAAATTGTTGCTGAGAAACCAAGTTTAGAAAATGAAGGCTGGACAGTACTGAATAATCTTGATGGATATCCTCCTGTAGCCACTCCAGCAGTTCCTGCTGTTAATTTTCCAGCTCCAGAACCAATAAATGCATCAAACGGACAAATGTCGAATGTACCGTTTTCTACAAATACACCTCATCTTATTCCTGTGCATAATATACCAGTACCAGCCTCAGCCTCAGCCTCAGCTTCAACAACAATACCAGTACCAACTCCAATAACAGCACCAATTTCAACTCCAGTAACAGCACCAACTTCAACTCCAGTAACAGCACCAACTTCAAGTCCAGTAACAATTCCGTTCTATCCTGCTACAGTAGCGTCCACTCCTGGGGCTTCGCACAATAATGGAGCTATACCTAAGCAGGTACTTCGAAAAAATATTTCAAATTTACAAAATTATACTCATTGAAATAGCAGAATAATTTAATGATATTCTTGAAAATCTTTCAGGTTCCTACCGAATACCAGCAAGATAATCCTGTGGTTCAAAAGCCAATATATCCTCAGCTTCCAAATAGAGTGACATATCATTCTGATCCAAAGATTCAGGCTTCCGTAGAAGCGATGGTACAGATGGGATTCAAAAACGAAAACGGATGGCTTACCGATTTACTTGTAGCTAAGAATGGCGATATCAGCAAGGTACTGGACGTACTGCAGCCGGTGTTACGTTAAACTTGTAACATCCTTTACCAGAGCAGAACAAAAACAGGTTCAGCATAATCAAGACTTTATATATCTCTTACGAACAATAGAATATACTACATATATACATTCCACTGTTCTTATAAAAAATCAAAATTATTGTATTTAATCAAGAAAAACCCCCCAAAAAAATATTGATATCTCAATTATATAGGGCATCATGACAAATGTCACTAGAATAGGATAGTGCTATGGTGTTTGGAACAAAACTTGTATTCTTATTTACTCTTTAAAGTAAAGCATATAACATTAATAATAACCGTGGTTGAAATGTTTACTATATATATATATATATTTGTTTTATTTATGTATCCTACAATGGCGTACAGTATTCCATGAATTTGTATGGATTATTCTGAGAAAGAAGTTGGAGTTCCCTTAGACCCTGCTTCGAAATATCACGTATCCATTTGCGATTCTTGTAATATTCTGCGATGATCTCGAATTCGTCGGTCGTATAATTCTTCACGTGTACTGGGAGGAACGGATCCATATGCTCGAAGCCTTCTTTATTCAGTAAAAATCGTGGTAGATAGGACTCTCGTCTATCCTAGAATTTCAACAGAAGGATGTATTGAGTACGCCCTGCTCTCAATTTCTATTGCTAGAAATACATTTTCTTATTCTGACCTTTGTTGCTAGAATATCAACAGCTACAACAATGATGCCGTTGCACCAGTCGCTTTTCGTAATATTTAGAAAAGCGTGCGTCAAGGAAACCCTTGAAGGTGGGACAACTTTTTTATTATCGTCACGAATGGCACTATACTCAGAGAAGAAGGCATTGTATCCATCAATGGCTACCATTGTGCTACACTTGCCATCTCTACTCGCTTCTTTGAGTTCGTTTATTAAAACGTTTATAATTTCAGAAGCAAATTTAATGCGATTTATTCCAAAATTTATCATTTCGAGCAAAGGCGTCCCATTGGAGGTTGTTTCTCGATGGCTCCATGCATAATCCTTGGTCACCCTTAACTAGACATTAATTGATTTAATGGAGTAGAATTATCGTAGTTTCATTTAATCGTACTTACGTCCAATTCTGAAAGAAGATAATGATTCTGATTTTTGAAATGAACTAGCCAAGCTGCTGCATCTATTGGTAAGTCTATATTGCCTTCATGCACTATGGAATTTGCTGTCTCCCTCGGGCGAGAAAACCAATTTTGAGCTGCATAAAAGAAGATTCGTTGAGTTAATCTATCACTCATTAAGAACACATTACTAGTTTTTTAATTTTTTTTTACCCGTACCCCATGGAACATGAATAAGAATTTTCCTAGTGGCAAATGCATAATGAATAAGATGTACGAGAGTGGTTGATTTTCCAACACCAAATTCTCCATCTAATTGATTGTTTAAGGATCTTCATATTAAAAAAAACAATCATAGTCAACAGTACAAACAATTAATTAAAAAATTATATAAAAAGGATACATAATACATATTTATTTGGTGGTTTAGAATAATCACTTTGTCTTATGTAAGATATAATTTCAATAGCTGGTTGCCTTATTAAAATTGAGCATTCTGCGAAGGTTTTCACCTGCTTTTGAAAAAACTTTGTCAATCCACCATGTTGGAACAATTGTTTTTGAATTTCAGGAGCAATTGTATAAAATCTATTCATGTGATCTATAGTATGATTTGCAGGATTATTCTCAATTGTCCTAAATGTTTGTGGAGGTTCCTCAGGGACCTTTATGGCTTCCAAAGCAGTTCCAAACATTCTAACATGTCCTGATGTTATTCGCCGTAGCAGAGATTCTATAAGTGGAATAAAATTACATTGAAATTTAACAATATAATCCAAGCATTGAGACCCACACACTACAAAATTATACATAATCTAAATATATCTCAATAATATAATTAGAAGTGCCTGTTAGCGAATTAAAAAGTAACAATAAAACACAACACACCTTATTATTAAGAAAATAAAACTTATAAGTGAACTATGCTGAATGAAAGCATAATAAAGTGTTAAATACTCACGAGTATAAAAGACCATTATTAATTATTTATTAAATAGAGTATGCCGTATAACAGTTATTCTTTAATACGATTATCAATCTTGTTAAATTCCAAAAATTTGGTTATATTATTTGCAGGGGGTAGCCATGTTGTGCGGTATGGTAAAGCAAGAGTGGGATCAGTGTGACACATTAGCCATTAGCTAAGATGCACCAAAATGGTACGCTTTAACTGGCCTGATTTGGCCCCAACACTATCGCAACCTAGTTACACCTACACCTGTTACCTGCGTAAAATATCTGAAACTTAACATTTCTTCGCGCATTTATTTAACATGAATTTGGAACTGTTGGGTAAGCATTAAATATATTCTTGGGTATTGTAGAGGACTATATTTTACATGCATTACTTTTCATTTACAACAGAATCCTTTGGACAAAATTATCCAGAGGTATGTTTACGTATTACTTTAAATATTATTTTACATTGTTGCTGTTTACCAATTAAACTTTGGTGCTATTTTCTTAATTGTTTCTTATAGGAATTTGATGGCACTTTGGATTGTATATCTCTTGCTGTAACCTGTGCTTTCAATAAGAGAGGAACGCTATTAGCTGTAGGCTGCAATGATGGGAGAATTGTTATTTGGGACTTCCTGACAAGAGGTATAGCAAAAATAATCAGTGCTCATGTTCATCCTGTGTGTTCGATAAGTTGGTCTAGAAATGGGCATAAGTTACTCAGTGCATCGACTGACAACAATGTTTGTATCTGGGATGTACTGTCTGGAGAATGCGATCAGAAATATCGGTTTCCATCTCCTATACTCAAAGTACAATTCCATCCTAGGAACTTAAATAAGTTCTTGGTATGTCCAATGAGGCATGCGGCTGTTATGGTGGATGTAGAAGGAACGCACAGAGTCATACCTTTAGACGAAGATGTATGTTGCATTAAATATTCAATCCTACTAATTTTCACAAGAAACTATTAATCTAATTATTTTCATCTTTCATAGAGTGATCTGAACATTGTAGCTTCCTTTGATAGACGTGGTGATTATGTATTCACTGGAAACGCACGTGGCAGAATCTTAGTTCTTGATGCAGAGACTTTGACAGTTAAAGCATCTTACAAAATATCTCAGGGTACAGCGAGCAACACAGCGGTTAAGAGCATCGAGTTCGCACGGCGAGGATCCTGTTTCTTGGTGAATACTTCCGACAGAGTAATTCGCGTATACGACAGTACGGAAATCCTAGCATGCGGTAAAGACGGTGAACCGGAACCTATACAGAAACTTCAGGACCTTGTAAACAAGACCATGTGGAAAAAATGCTGTTTCTCAGGGGATGGCGAGTATGTTTGTGCTGGTTCAGCCAGACAACACGCCTTATATGTGTGGGAGAAAAGTATAGGAAACTTAGTAAAGATATTACACGGTACCAAAGGGGAGTTACTATTGGATGTGGTGGTAAGATTATTTATTGTTAATGAGTATTACATAAGAAATCGTATGAAAAACTAATGTTTCGGTAGTGGCATCCAGTGCGACCTATTATAGCTTCCATCTCATCAGGAGTCGTGTCTATCTGGGCACAAAATCAGGTAGAAAACTGGTCAGCCTTTGCACCCGACTTCAAGGAACTTGACGAAAACGTGGAGTATGAGGAACGAGAGAGTGAATTTGACATAAGTGACGAAGACAAGTCTGTTGTGCAAGGTGAGGAAGCTCAGGATGAAGAAATAGAAGTAGATGTGGCCTCTATCGATAGGGTGGCCGCTTTCTGTAGTTCTGACGAGGAAACCGAGGATATTGGTTCATTGCAATTTCTTCCAATATCTCCTGATGTAGAAGAAACTGAAGATAATCAGACGGCACTGCATGAACCACCGTTGAAAAAGCACAGATCACATGATATCAACCTCCAGGGTGCACCTATAGATGGTAAAGACGATCTAAAGAATTCCTATTGGAACTACGAAGTTAAAAAAATGTTCTTCTCAACAGAAACACATCCATTACTGAGCAAGGGCAAGGATAAACCCGCAGCAAAGAAAGGAAGGCCGAGATTGGAACACCGGAAAGGAAAATAATACAATTCTATACATTTGTACAATTTATCAAAATAAATCGTAAAATTGAATTATGAGAAGAATCTACCTTGTTTCTATGTTTAATAATAATAATCAGATATATTTGACGATAGAAAAAAAATGAGCAAGTATAAACAAAGAGAAGAAAGTGCTGCCATCATTTTCTCTTATAGGAGTATGTGAAGGATTTAAAATCATTCTAAAGTATTCTAAAGATGTCCATCGCTTGCACTTTGACACATGGTACATCGTTTTTGAAATGTGCTTATTACAACTCGATAGTAGCTATCTTATCGCGCAATATATACCGGGCCACGATCAGCAGGAGGAAACTCTCCTAGCCGTTGCTGAAAAATTAAGCATTTAAAGGAATTACAATGATATTTGGGAGGTTATTACATCGGATAGGTGAGAAGTGGTTTAATGTACAAAAAAAAACAAGTGAGGGTGTCCAATCAGCAAGAGATGCTGTTTTTCGTGGTGGAATTTTGCTCGTGAGTGCCATCCTTGTGGTTTGGGTCTCTATATTTCTTTACACAGCTTTTTATTACGCATACATGCCTAGTATGTCTTATGTGCGGCCAGTGCATTTACAGTTCAAGTAGGTATCCTAACACTTTTATATATACAATAGAGTACAGAGATTTAACGAAAAGTATTGCATCAATAGATCATGCGATGAGACAAAAGGCATATGCAGTTTTCCATCAGCTTACGTTCAACTGACAAAGAAACAACAGCTACTAATGGTAGGGCAGCCCTACAAAGTGAACTTGCATCTTGAAATGCCAGAATCACCAGCCAATAAAGAGCTTGGTATATAAACTGATAATAACTGAGATACATGAATTATTTGAAATTCTAACATATTAATCCAATATAGGTATGTTTATGGTCTGTGCACAGTTGCGCAGTAGGGATGGTGTCCTTGTAGAGCATGCTTGTAGACCAGCAATGCTACATTATAAAAGTACACTTCTGCACATGTTAACTACCCTGACATTCTCTCCTATGATGATATTTGGTACCAGTGAAGAGAAACAAATCATTGTCTTGGAATTATTTGGAAATTTTGAGGAGGATCAAGTAAGTATTATTGCCAGTTTAATTAATTCACCTTAAATAAGTAAGTATCAATTATTCCCATCTTTCTGTGATTTAGAGTCATCCAGTGACTGTCATCTATGTGGAGATTCAATCTCGTCACGTGGAATTCTACTCAGCTACACTAATGATAAATGCCCACTTATCTGGGCTGCGTTATTTGATGTTTCATTGGCCTGTTCTGTCTTCCTTCATCGGTATTGGCACCAACTTGTTTTTCATAGCGCTAATATGCATCCTCTCGTACTTGCATTTCGCCACGGAGGAGGATCTGACAGAGGAGAACTTTGGCTATGAGAAAGGTGAACCTGAGGAAGATAAGGATCTCAAATCCAGTAGTGATCGTAAGTGTGTGCGATCTATACTTCAGTACAACAAAGATATTAAATTTATGCTAAAACAACATCATGTACCATTCACTGTGGTGTCATTATCCTATTTATTATTTATAATACTGATCATTTGGGGAATCTAGTCACACCAAAGGATTAAATATTGTTAGTAGCAGTATTAAATTTGTAGAAAATAATATTTTGATCGTGCAAAGAAACTTGTTTTTTTTTTGAATGCATGAAAAAGATAAAGAGATTAATTTTGTTCTTTATCATGCACGATCTCTGTTAAATAGTATATTTATGAATATATACAAATTTACGTCTTTCAATATATGGTGTTTTAATATAATCAAAATTTTAATCAACTGCTCCAGGCATCTTTTTTATACCAACTGTCCTTATGTGTGTTAATTAAAGTGTCATCGGATTCGTCGTCCTTAGAAGATACATCCATGTTGGAAGAGTTACCGAAATCTCAGGATGAGAGCCAGTCGACTCTTTCTACTGACCCCATCATAAGAAAATCAGGATACATCCAGGAGTTGTCGGGCTTATATTCGGAGACATCCACGAGTTCTGGAATAGCTAAATGAAATATTAATTGACGTTTGATGATATCGTCGTAGCATTTCATTTTTTCATTTCGTTGATGACTACCAAAGAGATAGATGGAAAGCGTCGGCAGGGCGTGACCCGAGTCTGAAATAACCATATCAGTAAGAAAAATTGTCCTCTGGATGATTTTGGGAAAGTCGAAGTTCGTTTTTAAAGTAATACGTTTAAAATGCGGATCTGTATTAGACGATTGACCAAGATTATTTACTTTGGAGACACTGGTCTCGCTCGTGCATCGAGTAGAGTCCCCCATTTGTATATAATATTTACAATATTCTTTCTTGGTTTTTTTTTGTTCATTTCACTAACTGATTTTATTTATAGATCTAGCAAAGTATAAAATTTGAAAGACTGTGATAAAATTTAACCAGTGCCCAGTTACTTTTTGAACATATCTTTTTCTCTTTCTTGTTCTTCGACGGCATTCCTTTCGCACATTACCCAAATAGAAGTAAACGAAATTCATGTATTTTATATCCACAAAGTGAGTCTACTTGACTTTATGATAAAAACTTTAATACTCTTCATTAGTAAAGTATTATTGTTTATTTAAGTTTGTATTAGAGAGCCATGCAATTTCCATAAAAATATAATAACTATAATTATACTATGTACTGCTGTTTTATATTTTATTATTTTTTTTAATATACGTTGATTTGTTAAACTTTTTATACCACTTTACTGAATATAATAATAATAACTATCATTTGGTTTCTGTACAAAATGAAATATTAACCCAGTTTTAGGATTCTGAAGAGTTATACTTCAAGTGTAATAAGAGAGCATTAAAATATATGTCTCTTATTGTTTAAATAATCTTAAACATTCAAGAATGAACACATACATATAAATGCAATTCATGCTAGTTTAGAAAGATGATGTTGATGCTTCAATGGTAATCATAGTAGTTCGAAGTAGTAGATGGTAGTAGACGATAGTACACGTCACGTATCATGCAATATGGTTATGTCCGCACGGATTAACAACAACATCTGGGTGAGAAGCTATTATTTCAAATAATTCTATTTAAACAATTAGAACTTGTGATTCATTTAAAGAGTGTTGTACACTTGATTAGTTGTCCGTATAAGCGAATTAATTCAGTGTAAAGTTCCTTGATAATTCATAAGAATACCAGAAGCACTCTGTCACTCAACTCACTTGTAATGTCATTTATTGTGTTTATTAGAGGTTTGTAGATTTGTAGGTTAATCATATTTATGTTACAGAATGAGCATCACTTAACACCAAGGACTATTTAATCTAAAAAATTACACAAAAAATGCGACGTTCTCATTCTGGTGAGAGGGGTGAGCCTAACCGATGTTATATATTCTTGTATTTTATTAATTTATACCTTGACTTTTAGCTGGCTATGGTTACGAGCCATTGCCCACTACTTCCCATGATGGCCTGGACCAGGAAAATGAAAGGATGGCTGACGAGCTGAAAGATAAAATTCATGCATTAAAATCTCTTTCAATTGATATTGGAACAGAAGTCAAGTATCAGGATAAAATGTTGCGTGGAATGGTTGGTGTTCTTATTTCGTCAAAGAGAAAGTTATAACACAAATGTTTCTTTGCTAAAAAATTGTTTCTAGGATGAAGATTTTGAGAGAACCAGTGGATCATTAACTTCATCTGTTGCAAGAGTGATTCGAATGGCGAAAGCTGGTCATAATTATTATATTCTATATTTACTTTTGTTTTCCATAGCTGTTTTCTTTATACTATGGATTGTATTGAAGTTAAAGTAATTTCAAGTATTTTCTAAGCTTACGTGATTACTTCTTTTTAAATTGTTTTACGTATTATAGAGGCATAGATTTGTAGGCAAGTGAATTATGATGTGTGTATGATCTGCAATTATTATAACGGAATTTCTTCAAAGATTACACAAGATTTATGCAATTCCTTGTTAGGTTAAACTTAACGCTTTCATAGAGGCATTAATATGGCTTGTAGATGACACATATAACAACTATGGAAATAATTGCATTTTATGTGCATCACAAAGGATATAAATTAAAGATTATTTTGGAATGGTATTTCATTGGCAATATATTTGTGCACGCAGTGTAACGTCTAGCCTTGTACGTTTTCGATTTTGGCGCGTCAACGCCGAAATAAGACTTGGACCATAAAAATCAGCTCATTGACAAACGCCCTACTGATCTCAGAGATGAGTAGGGAGATACACAGCCCTACGATTTTAGGCGATGCTATAATCATGGCGCTAAATCGTACTGGCGAGTCTGGAAGTAGGATTCCGTGACCATCGCCTTCGTCGACAATACGAATCCCGTTGTAGCCGAGCTAAAGATGAACACGAACGCGTAACGTGGCAGGCAGAAGTTTTCTGCTACTCACCGCTGGTTCCCAAAGCAACTCTTAGAACGAGACCGGGAGCTACAGACCTTCTCAAGAACTATTAAAAAAGCCTATTGTTGAAACATTTTTAAGACATTTATAAGAAAGTACAATTCCAACTTGACACCCGTGTAGCATCTTAATTTTTGAAAAATGGTTCATCACTTGAGGGCACAAAACCAAAAAGGAATAAGACGAAAAAAGAAGAAAGAAGAAGAAGACAAGAACTAGTTGCACAGAAATATTGAAAATTCGAAACATTGAAAAAAGCTTTCCGGATACCACTAAATATTATTGGATCTTGACTTACTTTCAAAATTTATACAAAATATACAATTGATGCTAAATCAAAATCTCGCAGAATATACGGAGTACATATAAATTGAATTGAAATTGGAGAATTTTGAAAATAAATTACATTCAAATTGAAATATTAATAAATTAGGTGTTTGGAACATTAAAGTAATGAAATCAATAAAGTAAAATATTAACACTTTGAGATACGAAATTCTGGCCAAGAATATTTATTATTACTGAAAGTTGCCCAAAATATTGTGCGCGCATATTCGTCGCGCAGAACTCAGTGAGCCGGAGCAGGCGGATGGTGGGGGGGACCGCTCGAGCCAGTGCCCGGACTCGCAGCGCTCATTCTTCCTCGAGCCGGTCTCCTATACTGGTCTCTTGGAATCACCCCTCTTATACCTTTCCAACCTTCTTCTCTTTCTATATTTATTTCTTCTATACTTTCTTCCTTCTTTATTTCTACTTCTTCACTTCTTCATTTCTATATTCATTTCTTTCTTATCACCTTATTCTCACTTCTATATTTCTATATCCATTTACAACCTTCTTCTTCTTCTTTATTTATTTCTT